TTTCTTTTCTTTTCTTTTTTACATGGGATCCAGATAGGATCGTTAGGTGAAATGTTCTGCGCACGAGATCCAGCCGGGCTAGCGATGGGGTGTCCATTCACGTTGCCAGAATAGATGTCGCTAAATTAAATACATTAATAGAATGCGTGGTTCTTGATTCCCCTTAAGGCAGTTTTTAATCTATGCTGAAGCAACACAATTAAAATGAACCCACCGTTTCTTAATCTTCATGGCCACTGAACTTACGCCATTTTCTGCTCTGTCGGTAGCTAGTGATTCTCAATCCTCGTTTCTCACGTGAATGGAAGGGATTGAGTGGGGGCCAGAGATAGGCCCTTTTGGTGATAAATCTGTTTATATGGTAAGTTGCTTGCCTTGTTTCTCAAGAACCAATAAACATACTCCGATTAGCGCCTGACCTTCGCACCTTCCGTTGTGAATTAAAAACTTGGCTTTTTAAATCACTTGACCTGGTCTGATGGGGGGTTTTTAAGGGTTAAATTTTAAATTTTAGATTTTATTTTGCATCGTGGCTTGTGTTTTTATTATTGTGAGCCGCCCTGAGTCCATTGGGAGATAGGGCGGCATATAAGCCAAATAAAATAAATAAATAAATAAATAAATAAATAAATAAATAAATAAATAAATAAATAAATACGGCAAGACTTTCATGGTTTGCAAAACTGTGTCTCCTTTCTCCGTATATTTTGGTTCATCACCCCATCGTACCCTGTTTTTAAAAATGGCTTTTGTTACTTCTAAGAGGAAGTATCTCTTGCTGACTTGAAAAATCTATTGTTTGCTGCTAGGTGGCAGTCTCCTGCAACACAACCAGAGCAGAGCTGCCAAAATTCTTATTCGCTTGAAATATATCAGATATACGGTATATTCTATGAATGCAAGAACAGCCCAAGTCCTGCAAAGCCAGACAGATGAATGATGCTCATATGCAAGTAATTACAGATGCTCCCCCCTCCCACCCATATCATCATCATCATCATCATCATCATTATTATTATTATTATTATTATTATTATTTAATCTTTAGTGAGATTCACAGCCTTTGAGGCTGGTTAATAGCTCAGCAGCTCGAGTCCTAACCAAGGACCTAGGAACTGTTAAGGTATCGTCGGAGGATGTAAGCTGTTCCAAGTAAGGTGGTTTTTTGTAGAGTCAAAATGTTCAAGTCCGGCAAATTTAGAATTTCTAAATAGCGGGGTAGCCCTTTGGGTATTGCTCCAAGGGCTCCAACTGCAATCGGGACATCATCATTATTATTATTATTTATTGGTTAATCTTTAGTGAGATTCACAGCCTTTGAGGCTGGTTAATAGCTCAGCAGCTCGAGTCCTAACCAAGGACCTAGGAACTGTTAAGGTACCGTCGGAGGATGTAAGCTGTTCCGAGTAAGGTGGTTTTTTGTAGAGTCAAAATGTTCAAGTTATTTTTATTCAAATTATTATTATTATTATTATTATTATTATTATTATTATTATTATTATTATTATTATTTTAAGGGTATGCTTGAACCAAAACTTATCTCCATCACAAATTCAGTATTCAGTGACCTGGTTTTGCTTAATTGTGGTTTGTAGTCTATAGCACTACTGGGTTCATATCAGTGGTGAAATCCAATTTTTTTTACTACCGGTTCTGTGGGCGTGGCTTGGTGGGCGTGGTGTGGCTTGGTGGGTGTGGCAGGGGAAAGGATACTGCAAAATCCACATTCCCTCCCCACTCTGGGGCCAGCCAGAGGTGGTATTTGCAGGTTCTCTGAACTATTCAAAATTTCCACTACCGGTTCTCCGAACGGCTCAATATTTCTGCCTCCGGTTCTCCAGAACCTGCCAGAACCTGCTGGATTTTTACCCCTGGTTCATATTAAGCTGTAAACAGTGCCATATGCACCCACAGTGGCTGAAAATGTACAATATTCTATAACAAAACAGTAATTATTATGTCCCAATCCAAAAAGAACAAACCAAAAGAAACAAATAAAAAGCAGCACCATAATATTTCACCTTGGTGTAATGGCTGGTTGTACTTTGTAAACCTTTAGGGTAGTTTGCTAAACTTGAAGGCATGAGCATAACTGGAAAGGCAGTTAATAACTCTAAATTCTGAACTTAATGGTCCTTTAGGGTCCCTTCTTCATTAATTAGAAATATTTATTACTTTGCATTTACTCTATGACTCCCCCAGGCTTGTGATGCAATAGCAATAGCACTTAGACTTATATACCGCTTCATAGTGCTTTATAGCCCTCTCTAACTGGTTTACAGAGTCAGCCTCTTGCCCCCCAAAATCTGGGTCCTCATTTTACCCACCTCAGAAGGATGAAAGGCTGAATCAACCTTGAGCTGTTCAGAATCGAACTGCGGTAGTCAGCAGAGTTACCCTGCAGTACTGCATTCTAACCACTGCGCCACCACGGTTCTTCCTTCCTTCATCTTCTTCCTTCTTTTCTTCTTTCCTTCCTTCCTTCCCACTTAGCAATAGCACTTAGACTTATATATCGTTTCACAGTGCTTTACAGTCCTCTCTAAACGGTTTACAGAATCAGCAGATTTTCCCCCAACAATCTGGGTCCTCATTTTACTGACCTCGGAAGGCTGAGTCAACCTTGAGCCAGTCAGAATCGAACTCCTGGCTGTGGGCAAGAGTCAGTCTGCAATACTGCATTCTAACCACTGTGTCACCAGGGCTCTTGCAACCTCCTACATAACTAACTAACATCACCATCTGGGTAACGTCATAACTATCTCTGAACATGGTTCTTGGACTTTGTTCCTCTGTAATGGTTTCCTGACATTTTTGTGAATAAGTGTGTGTGTGTGTGTGTTAATTCAGCAGGAGCAACAGCTTATTGATTCAAGTGACACAAGGGCTCCAGTAGATGCTTCAGCAAACACAGAGGATGGGGCTGTTTAGAGAACAGCAAATATGAAATGGGAAGACTGGGAATTTCCAACTTCTTGTTATTTCAGCTTTTTTCCAGCACAGGATGCAACCCACTTATCTAATGAATACAGAACCATTGTCATAAATTTATTCTATTACCTCTGTGACAAGCCGGGAATTCCCCGGTGGCATTAAATCATCAAATTATATGTACTAGAAAGGGTGTTTTGGTTCGGTCGTGTCAAAATGAGAAAGAACAAATAGTTCCATTGCCTTTTGGGCAAAAGTTAAAGATGCTAGATAGGATTTAAAGGGGCAATCCTTTATATACATGCACATTTATTTATTTTTCATGAAGAGCGGATGTGCATTATTTTTTGGCCTTAGCCCAACTTTGTTCCAAAGAGCTCAAAGCCAGGCAGGGAAACCGGCAGCCTTTCCCCAAATTTTTAAAGGCCTTCAACAAAGTTATCCCAGCCTTGGGTGAGAGTCCTCTAACCTTCCCTATAAAGAAGAAAGTAAAAAGGGGATTAGAAATAGGGCTACTGATATCTAGCTGATTGTTAGATATCAGCAGAGAGATATCGAAATCTTTGCTGCCATCTGTTGGATGCCTGGATTTTTTCCAGCCGAAATAGGTAAAGGTTCTCCTCGCACATATGTGCTAATCGTTCCCGACTCTAGGGAGCGCTGCTCATCTCCGTTTCAAAGCCAAAGAGCCAGCGTTGTCCGAAGACGTCTCTGTGGTCATGTGGTCAGCATGACTAAATGCCAAAGGCGCACGGAACGCTGTTACCTTCCCACCAAAAGTGGTCCCTATTTTTCTACTTGCATTTTTTACATGCTTTCAAACTGCTACGTTGGCAGAAGCTGGGACAAGTAACGGGAGCTCACCCCCGTTATGCGGCACTAGGGATTCGAACCACTGAACTGCCGACTTTTTCATCGACAAGCTTAGTTTCTTAGCCACTGAGCCAACGTGTCCCTTTATACCCCAATATGGTAGCCCTAATTGGAAAAAAAGCCCAGGAGAAAAAAATTTAGCTGAGAATGATAGAATACCAATAGAAAGTAACATTGGTAGCTCAGGTTGAATTGTGGGATGCTTGGTGCTCTCTCTGAGCATGGTTGTTTTTTTGCAGATGTTTCATTACCCAGCTAGGTACCATCATCAGTGCTAGAAGAAGTGTGCTCTCTGTTTATATATTCATGCCTTGCCCTGTGTTGATGGGAGAGTTCTTGGTGGTTCCTGGATTAAGTTGTTGTTTATTGTTTGACAGTTTGTCTGTCTGTTATTCCTTGATTTGGGGAACTACACATTTCCCATTCTTAAATAACTATCACATGGATATGTTTATTTTATTTTATTTATTTATTTTGTCAAGCATGTATTAGATAACAGATAAAAGTATAAACATGATTATGAATACATGAAATGGATACGTATAAAATTAATAATTGTTATGAGTAATTTGTTTTTTCTGGTTTTGGGGGTTATTAGTGGTACGTATAGTTTAATGACTCTTTTGACTTCGAGAGAAAAAATGTTATAATGGTCTTTGGCAGTATTACAGCTAGTGCATAGAATTTGCCAATCAAGAGATGAGAGGTCGGTATCTAAATGAGATCATAGTTGGCTATAAAAAGTTACAATTGGGGATCCCATCATTTGATGATTTTTGTAAGGTTGTATATTGAGACAAAAGTCAATCATGCTGTGGTCACTGTTGTAATTATTATAATTAATAATATTAATTAATCAAGGCAATATTAATGTACCGATTAATAGCAATAATTACAAGAGTCGCATATGTTCTCAGCTGTGCTTGGTGTAGAAAAAAATCCATGCCCCATGGAAACTAAACTCTTGTCACACAAGAAACGGAAAACAGAGAAACAGGGTGCAGGTTGCATGTTCCAAGTACGTTAGTGAAATGTCGAAATATTATCCAACACGTGGTACTTGTATCAGTATATGCCTCCTAGATTTGGTAACCTTAAACCAGCTTTTATTTGATGTTTTATTTGATATGGTAGAGTTTCAACACTTCCTCTAAATTGCATTTCGAGAATAAATCATGTTAGAAGTCTCAGCTACACAGCTGCTGTATTTTTCCCTCCCTCGGATCACAAAACTTTCACTTCCTAATCACATGTGCTATGTTGATTTACATATGGATATTTTATGCGCGCAGTGATGGTTATTGACAAGGCTTTCAAAAAAAGGAAAATTCCACCCTCAGATGGAAAAACCTGAAGTTGTTTCGTGAACTGCCGAGGGACAGGCCACTCATTCTTGAAAGCTCTGCTGAGAATCAAGTCCTTCTCTCTTTTTTTGTTCTCTGCAGTTATTATTTTTTTTTTCAAATGGAAAGCTACAATTTCCTTTATGTGAACACCTTGGTGCAAGATTACCTGAAATACATTTGTCAAGAGGCTCAACTTGCAGCGGCCCCAAACCGAGTGGCTGAAGTCCTACGGAAAGCCGGATCTTCGGCGCAGAAAGAAGTCGAAATCAACCTGAGACCTTACGTGGACTCACTGGAGATTCGTTCTGTAGAAGACGCTAGTAACATTTTCAATCAAGTGATGGAAAACGAATTTGAAGATGGGAAAATTAACTGGGGACGCATTCTGACCATATTCCTGTTTGGCGGAATCCTGGCTAAAAAACTCCAAGGACCTTTGGCAAAAGAAAACTTGAAACAGATCTCTTATTTCATCACAGACTATATCATGAGCACCAAAGGAAAGTGGATCAGTGAGAATGGAGGATGGGTAAGTTTTGTCAGCCTTTTTGTTGTTCAGAGATGCTAAGTTGTGCTCGAGACCCCATGGACCACAGCATGGACCACAGCCCTCCTGTCCTCCTCTCTCTCTCTCCGAGTCTGCCCAAACTCAAACTGACATTATCTAACATCTCCTCCTCTGTTGTCCCCTTCTCTTTTTGCCTTCGATGTTTGCCCTTTAGCATCACTAATTTTTCATGCAGAACTCGAGACCAAAAGCTCACGGAATTGGATATTAATTTAACAGCTCGTAATAATGCAACACATCTTTATACTGATTTAACTATACTGAATTTTTGTGCTGATCTCTCAACGTCTAAGGTACTGCAGCGTTTGCTTAAACCTTACCTTATATCAGTAGTATTGTGTGTAGTATCCATAAATAGACTCAGAATAAATATAAAAGACATCTGTAAATCTACTTGCATGTTGAAATGGAAAACTCACATTAGTGACGAGGGGTTTGAATGAATATTCTAGTAAATACAAAATTGTATTGGCCAAAATTGTGGAAACGTTTTGGGAAAGGGTTTTTTGAGGTTTGATGGCTAATAACACCACTTTTTTGGGGAGTTTCAAGATAATCCTATTCCACTGCTGGAATGGCCTGGGAATAGCCCAGACCTTAACCCAATTGAAAATCTATGGAGCCAACTAAAGAAACTTGTTAGTCAGAAGCGACCCAGCAATCAAACCCAGTTAATAGAAGCCATAATTCAATCTTGGTTTCACATAATAACAGCTGCAGAACTAAAAGACTTGGTTCACTCCATGGGAAGACATTGTAAGGCCATAATTCATGCTAAAGGTTACCCTACTGAGTATATCTCATTTTTTTCTAAGTGTTTCACACTTTTTTTTCTTTATACTGTGACTGCTATTCTAATAGCAAATCCTTCATAAAAGTTATTGCATTACATTCTTGATTAAATTATCTTTCCATCGATTTATAATTTTATCGTACTACTCCAAAAAAAAAAGGGGGGGGGTTATTAGCTAGTTTTAGAAAATAGACTTTTCCCAAAAGGTTTTCCACAATTTTGGCCACTACTGTATTGTCTTATAAAGTACAACTCGATAGTACAACCCAAGAGAACATTTAACCCCACAGAGTTCAAAGAGTTTATTTCTATGCAATATGGGTAAGATTATTTCAAAAGATCAGAAAAATTCAATAGTGTGGTAATAATACCGTGGAACTCAGTGGAATTTTGTTTTTGAATGAGTAATTGGCATTTATTAAAATTCTATCTATCAATCACCTATCTATCTATCTATCTATCTATCTACCTACTTACCTACTTACCTACTTACCTACTTACCTACTTACCTACCTACCTACCTACCTACCTACCTACCTACCTACCTACCTACCTACCTACCTACCCCTCATTTCTTTTAATTTTAAGAGTCTTCCAGGCCACTCAGGCATCAAGTTACATATTAAATCAAACTCTGGCTTGCCTGCTTTGAGGTTTTAGGTTTGCTAATTATTTGCCTTGAAACACAGCAAAAGAAACTTTCCATAGCAAAAGAAACACACAGTAGCATATTCTTCTTCCTCAAGGGGAACAGGAACTTGCAAAATGCCTGGTTTGTTTTTTTTGTGTGTTCCTAAGATACGTGGCAAAGGGTGAGATACTGGCAACCTGCAACGCAATCCTGAAAATATTGATTCCCCATTAACTGCAGCCTTGCTGGGATCTTTCAGAAAAAGGAGTCTCTCCCCATTCATTTCAAGGACACACTGTAGTCAAGGAAAAGAAAAATGATCCTGCATTTAAGATTCAGAATTCCCCAAAGAGGAATCAAATAGAGAAAGGTTGTATTCTCTGCAAATCTAAGATGGCTTTTTCACTTTGATGTTTGGGGGGAAACCCCTAATCTTCCTTTCAGGGAATTATAGCAATTCTCAATTCCTGTATATGACTATTTCCCTATTAATCTTGATCTGCAGTGAGATTTCCGTGGGTGTATCTGAGAGCCACATCTATATCTAAAGCATACTGTGTTTTTCCCTTGGAGTTTCCATTCAATGTCTACAAAATAGAAATTTATTTATTTATTTATTAAATGTATTTATATGCCGCCATTCTCCCAAAGGACTCAGGGCGGCGAACACAAGTTAAGAAACAAGTACAATAAAATCATAATTTAATCCAAATAATTAGTCTGCGATTTTTAATTTTTTGGGCCAAATTTTATATATATTTTTAAATGTTTTAATATTTGTATTCTATGTTTTTTATCTTGGCTGTACACCGCCCTGAGTCCTCAGGGAGAAGGGCGGTATATAAATTCGAAATTAAATTAAATTAAATTAAATTAAATTAATTAGTAGTAAATAATAAAGCCCAGAATCAGTCTCAGCCTATTTGTTTGAAAAGCCAAGTCTTCAAGTCCCGACGGAAGGAGCGGAGATCAGGAGCCGTCCGGAGCTCAGTAGGCAATTCATTCCAGAGGGTGGGAGCACTGAGGGCCTTTTTCTCCTAAATCATTTGAGCCGCACCGTAATAAATTGCACCTCGTTGATTCCAGTCAGCTTGGCTTCAGGCAATGTACTGAGCCAAAATAATAGCCAAGAGAACTGGGCTTCTGTTACACTATTAAGGTCCAAATAAAACTTAACCACATTCAGTACTCAACAAAATTTACCGTGCAATGCAGGGGTGGGTTCTACTTACCTTTACTACTGGTTCGCAGCGGGGCCGCGCGTGTGCTCTTCTACGTATGCGTAGAAGTGTTTTGATGACGTTGGGGGTCAGTGGGTGGAGCCTCCTGCCGGTTTTACTACCCATTCTATAGAACCTGTGCGAACCGGGGGCAACCCACCACTGGTGCAATGTGACATCAGCTTGGTATCGGTTTTAGAAGACAATTTTCTTTTTTGCTTCTTAACTGTCAATAATAAATTGGAACTTTGAGGAACCTCAGGCCTCAGAACTTTATTCGTTGGTGGTGTTCCTTGGAACCCTGACAACTTAGTTGATCTGGACAGCATATTGTGTGAACGGTATGTCAAAAAAAGCCAATGCAATTCTAGGTTGCGCTAATGGAGGGATAAAACCAAGAACATGTGAAGTTCTAGTACGGCTTTACAATGCCATAGGAAGGCCACACTTGGAATCCTGCATCCAGTTTTGGTCACCACAATGTAAAAAAAGATATTGAGACTCTGGAAAGAGTGCAGAGAAGAGCAACAAAAATGATTTAGGGGGCTGGAGACTGAAACGGTTACAGGAATTGGGTAGTCTAATGAAAAGAAGGGCTAGGGGAGACATGATAGCAGTGTTCTAATATCTGAGGGGCTACCCCAAAGAAGAGGGAGTCAAGCTATTCTCCAAAGCACCTGAAGGCAGGAAAAGAAGCAATGGATGGAAATTAATCAAGAAGAGAAGCAACCTAGAACTATGGAGAAAATTTTCTTCCTTGGTGAGAATTAATAGATGTTGTGACCTAGGCCCAAGTAGGTATTATCAGACCCAATCAGTTCTAAACAAACAGAATTTATTAGAACAGCTGAGAATTAACTCATTCTCAGCGTAGTCCAAACCAATTCAAACCAAATTCTTTATAACACAATTCTTCAGCCTTATCACCAACCTTGGTCTACTTTGGCAACCTGCCAAAGGCTTTTCTTGGCAAAAGTTCAGAAGCAGAAGACGCCGACAAGAAATAAATGCAGCAAGACAAGAAACAAATCTATCAACGTAGTTTTCCGCCAAAGAGCCCAAGAGCCTTTGCTGGTCTTTTAAGCCTTATGGGAGGGGCCAATCATCTCTTGACCTTACTCCCGAGTCGTCCTTTTTGCTTTAGCTGCTCTTGCCTTCTAGCAGCTCTTCTCATGCATGCACTAGGAACAGGCTCCTCCTGTTCCTCTGCCTCTCTGCTGTCAGTCTCTGGAGGCTCCGGAGTCCGCACATCACTCCCCGATGGCCCTGGCCCCATCTCTGCCTCCGACGCAGAGCCCTCATCCGGGCCTTCTCCAGCCTCCAGGACTGGCCCATGTTCTACGTCAGCCTCATCGCTGTCCGACTCCGCTGCCAGCTCCTCAGACTGTTGGTGGACCACAACAGTAGAATGGCTTGTCTTCAGAAGTTGTAGGTCCTTCATCACTGGGGAGATTGGACAGCCACTTGTCTGAAATGGTATATGGTCATCTGCTCAAGCAGGGGGCTGGACTAGAAGATCTCCAAGGTCCCTTCCAACTTATGTTATTCTATGTTCTATGAACACAGGCAGTTGTCTTTTTTTCTGATTCTGCTAGTAGCTTCTGTGACTCTTTCAGATTCTTCTTGCTGGAGTAAAAATCTTGAAATTATCCGAGGGAAACCTTAAGACATAATTATGCATGTATAGCTGTGGTGCATGTATGCATTTTTTTAAAAAAATTGCAAGCTAGGTGGTTTTTTTTTTTTACATGTTCTGTTACATTTCCGTTCCCTTTGATGGCAGTGTCCATCAAATCCAAATCCACCAGATGGCAGCAATAAGTCTCCAAAATCAAAATAAAACACTGCAATTTTGAAAAAAAAAAAAAAAGGAAAAAAAAGGCATAATTAACATGTAACGAACAGTGACTTGAACCCTTGTGAAAAGAGATCTCATCCGATGAGGCTCATTTTTACAGTTCATTTGAAATATTTAAAGTTGAAATATTTAAATATTTAAACTTTAAAATATTTAACAGTTGTTTTCACAGGAAGCTTGGCCCCAGCTCCATAGTGCAAGACGTTAAGATACTTAGCAAGGAGATCCAAAATGTTGGGTGATTTGCAAGCCACAACAGCTGGGTTCACACAAACACTAGGTGAAGGCCAAACGTGGTTTTATGCGCGATGAACACCGCTTCAGATCTCAACAATTGTGTCATTATTTCTTTATATCCCACCTTTATTTTTTGGTAAAAATAACTCAAGGCAGCGAATGAATCCAATACTTTGAGTGCACCCAGGATAATCAATCAGACTTCCCACACCCCACCCCACCCCGAGGGAATGGCTTTATTCATTGCAAGCGATGTATAACGTATTTTTATTTTATTTATTTTTACCCCACCTTTATTATGTTTTATAAACAACTCAAGGCGATGAACATAGCTAATATAGGTAGTCCTCGAATTACGATCACAACTGAGCCCAAAATTTCTGTTGGTAAGCGAGACATTTGTTAAGTCAGTATTGCCCCATTTTACGACCACATTCTTACCACAGTTGTTAAGTGAATCACTGCGGTGGATAACCTGGTTGTTAAGTGAATCTGGTTTCCCCGTTGACTTTGCTTATCAGAAGGCCGCAAAAAAATGATCACGTAACCTCGGGACACAGCAACGGTCCCAACTAGGAACCAGTTGCCAAAGCATCTGAATTTTGATCCCATGATCGTGGGGAACGCTTCAAAGGTTGTAATTGTGAAAAACGGTCGTAAGTCACATTTTTCAGTGCCATTTTAACCTTGAACAGTTGTCAGGGTTCCGACAGATGCCCTAATTAAATCATGAGTCTCGAGCCAAGCTTCAAAAGAAATCCAGTTATTTATTAGGAGCTTCATATCAGCACGTTCCCAAGCAAAGCCAGCTCTGACCCTACCTAATTTACGCTGTTTCCCCCTCCCCCCAGGGTGTGTCATCAATCATATTAGCCAACGGAACAATTTTGTGGGTTGTAGAGGTCACTCCCCACCGGCTGCTGCAGGTAACCCTGGGCTACAGCCTTGACAGACATAAGTATGGAATGTGCATCTGTCTTTGGCTGCTATGCCATTTCGCTGCTTTCCCACCCCCTCTGGCCTATGGCAACTCGAGGATGCTTTGCGAGTTGACAACAGTCACTAAACGAACTGTTGTAATTTGAGGACTACCTGTACTCCTTCCTTCTCCTATTTTCCCCACAACAACCCTATGAGGTGGGGTTGGGCTGAAAGAAAGGGACTGGCTCAAAGTCACCAGAGTTGGCTTTGATGCCTAAGGCAGGACTAGAACTTCTATGATTGGCTCAACATCACCCAGATGTCTTTTATGCCTGACTAGAATTTACTGCCGCCTGGTTTCTGGCCAGGTGCCTTAACCATTCGACAAAAGTGATTCTCATCATCCTTTTCTCTTTGCTTGCAGGACAATGGCTTTAGAACCAAATTTGAGGATAGAAGCTCCTGGATATCCTTATCCACTTTGAAGACAAAGATCTTGGCTGTTTTCTCCATCTTCAATCAATATCACTCATAAACTTGGTCAATGCTTTTCTTGAGGATGTTACACTGGGATAACTTCCCTCTTAGTAGAAGACTAAGAACGCTACTGAGCTCAATAGGGAAAGGGGGGAGAATATAATATTTCAAACTTTATTTATATGTTATTTATAATATATATATATATATATATTTCTTTTGTGAAATTGCTTGCAGATATTAGTGTGCAGTAAAACGAACAGTTTAAATGCTCAGCATAGAAATTATTTCTATCTCGTCAAGCAGTGACCTTACAATGATGTAGAATTAGCTCATCCGGTGGTATTTACATCAATATTGCAAGTCTGAAATTGCAAATCTCCCACCGTCTCCTATACAGCCTGAGAAGCTAGGGAGGGTCCTTTTGAGCCTCTTTCTCTACCCATTATGCAGCTGAGGGCTAAGCCCTTTCTTTTCTGATTATTCCCTAAGGAAGCATTTCTTCACCCTGACTCTCCAAGGTCTTTCTCACATACCATTACACCTGACACGGTAAATCATTATTTCTTTAGCCAAATTAGCCAAATAAAATAAGTCATGAAGCACAATGGCTTGACTCACAGGACATGACAAAGTACCAGCAAACCAATATTACAACTTAAGAGTGTTGCTTAGATCCAGCTGCATTCAACCACAGCTCCTCCAACCTTTACCATGTGGACTATAGGCATTATACTTGTTAATGGTAGCCAACCCTACTATTAAACATTATTTGGGCCTACATATGCTAGGCTATTGCTTGCTTAATTATGGCTAACTGAATACATAATTACGAGTTTAAATCATAAGACGGTGATAATTTGTTCAGTAAATAGGGATGCAGAATACAACAGAACTGATTTTATAAAACTTGAAGCTAGGGTTGAGCGAATCTCATTTCCATCATCCAGGAGCTTCTTTTGATCATCTTCCAGGATGATCTTCATTCTACATCTGGAACATTCTGTATTTTTCTCTGAACAGGGCACTCTGGCCATTCCTGAAAATCTAAAGTAAATCTCCCAGAATAGCAAATCGGTTGCCATGTTCCAGATGGGAACAGTCTGATCCCTGAGCAACTGGATCACCCTGTTCCGGAGGGAAAATGGAATGTTTTTGGGGAAAATAGTATGTTCCATGCCTCAAAGTTTGCACCTCTTTCTCCAACTTTTTTTTTTTTTGCACAATCATTTTACCTACTGTCCCCCCAAACACCGCCCCAAATCTATATATATAAAAGCGAAAACCACTCACGCATTAATCACAAAATCTCCAGAAACGTAAAGCCTACAAACTTGAATTTTGCCATGTATGTTCCTCTTGGCTTCTAGGTGCTCAAAGAAAGGATTTTTCGAAATGACCATCAGAGCATTAATATTTCCTATATTATTATAACACCCTCTGATGCTAATTGGTTAGACGTTTTACTCCCTCTCCCGACTTGAAAATAACTCTGGAGAGAAGGGGATAGCATAGGACAGGCTTCTGTGGGACAAGCCTCATGGGGAGAAGGGGCTAGAAAGCCTGAGGGAGAGAAGGGGATAGGATAGGAGATGTTTCTGTGGGTCAAGGCTGTGGGAGAGAAGGGGAGAGGCTTCTATGGGGCAAGCCTGAGGGACAGAAGGGGAGAGGAGAGGATCTATGGGGCCAGCCTGAGGGAGAGGAGAGGCTTCTGTGGGGCCAGCCTGAGGGAGAGAAGGGGATGGGAGAAGATCTATGGGGTCAGCTTGAGGGAGGTAGAGGACAGGAGAGGCTTCTGTGAGGCCAGCCTGAGGGAGAGAAGGAGAGAGGAGAGGCTTCTATGGGGCAAGCCTGAGGGAGAGAAGGAGAGAATCGATGGGGCCAGGGAGAGGACAGGAGAGGCTTCTGTGGGGCCAGCCTGAGAGAGAGAAGGAGAGGCGAGAGAATCGATTGGGCCAGCCTGAGGGAGAGGACAGGAGAGGCTTCTGTGGGGCCAGCCTGAGGGAAGGAAGGGGAGTGGAGAGGATCTATGGGGCCAGCCTGAGGGAGAGGAGAGAGGAGAGGATTGATGGGACCAGGCTGAGAGAGAGGACAGGAGAGGCTTCTGTGGGGCCAGCCTGAGGGAGAGAAGGGGAGAGGAGAGGCCAATCGTAACTACCCATTAATTTTCAAACTCTTAAGTGTCGATTTATCAAACCCGATCACATAGTTTCGTAGCGGAGCACGGGTATTCAGCTAGTCTTATATATAACCTCCAGCTATGAAAAGGTGGGCCACTCTTATCATAAACTACGGCTTACAACCCGCAAAGGATGGGTGCACACAATACCCTGACTAAGCCAAATCAATTAAACCATCTACGAAAACAGCCCTCATGGAACAAATTAAGTGGTTATCACCACCCGTCATCGGCTAGGAAGGGAGATCACGTTATCAGCAGGGTTGATGGTTATCGCCCAAGAACTGCAGCGAGCTGCCTTCCACCCACGGTGAAAGCTGCAGAAAGAGGGATGCACAAACCGAACCATTTGTTCCATGCAGGGGACGATTCTTGCAGGAACTGCATCATCTTTGAAATGTTTTCTTTTCTTTGGCTTTTATTCTTTGCATTTAGAACTGCATGTTTGTGCTGTTTTGCAATCCAGAGGCTTGTCTGAAATGAGGGCAGCAACAGATGTCGGCTTAATAAATACAAGTAGTCCTCAAGTTACGACCACAACTAAGCCCAAAATTTCTGTTGCTAGATGAAGCATTTAGGAAGTGAGTTTGGCCCCATTTTGCCACCGTTGTTCAATGAATCACGGCAGTGGTTAAGTTAGTCACACAGTTGTTAAGTGAATCCGGTTTCCCCCCGTTGACTTTGCTCGTCAGAAGTTCATCAAAAAGAGGATCCGGGGAACCCCCCCTTCCTCCCTGGGGACACGGCAACCGTCATAAGTATGAGCCACTGGCCAAGCCTCTGGATTTTTGATCAGGCGACCATGGGGGTGCCGCCACGGTCGTTAAGTGTGAAAAACGGTCGTCAGTCAACTTTTTACAGTGCCGTTGTCATTTTTGAACGGTTGCTAAATGAACTGTTGTAAATTGAGGACTACCTGTAGCCCTTTTTGTAATAAAATAAAATAAAATAATAAAATAATAAATAAAATAAAATAATAAAGTAAAATAAAATAAAATAAAAAGATAAAATAAAACAAAACAATAAAATAAAATATAATAAATAAATAATAAAATAATAAAGTAAAATAAAAAATAAAGTAAAATAATAGAGTAAAGTAAAATAAAATAAAAAGATAAAATAACACATTGTAAGCCGCCCTGAGTCTCCGGAGAAGGGTAGCATATAAATCAATTTTTTTAAAAAATAAATAAAATAAAACAATAAAATAATAAAATAAAATAATAAATACATAAAATAAAAATAAAGGAAAATAATAAAGTAAAGGAAAAGAAAAGAAAAGAAAATAATTAAATAAAAAAAGAAAAGAAAAGAAACAAAAGAAAAGAAAACAATCAAAGAAAATAAGAAATAAAGTAAAATAATAAAGTAAAGTAAAAGAAAAGAAAGAAAAGAAAAAACAAAACAATAAAGAAAATAAAATAATAAAATAAAGTAAATAAAATAAAAATAAAATAAATAAAATAATAACAATAATTTTATAATAATAATAATAATTAAATAAAAAACAAATAAATAAATAATTAAATAAAATAAATGAAACAAAATAAGAAAAGAAAAGAAAAAAAACAAATAAAAAAAGAAAATAATAAAAGAAAATAAAAAATAAAGTAAAATAATAAAGTAAAGTAAAATAAAATAAAGAAAAAAAAAAAAAAATAAAATAAATGAAACAAAATAAGAAAAGAAAATAAGAAAAAAGCAAAACAAACAAATAAAAGAAAATAATAAAAGCAAATAAATAAGAAAATCAAATAAGAAAATCAAAAGCAAAGTACAATAAAAGAAAGCCACCCGACCCATTCCTCCGTGACAAATCAATGACCACCGTCTCATCTTTGGACTTTGGAGCCGGCTGCCTCCCTTTGCTTTGGCGCCTCTCCAAGGCGAGGGGAGCGAGCAGCGAGCGGCGGTCCCTTTTCACTCCCCGCCTTCCCGGCGCTCAGGGACCTTGGAGAGCTTCCCCTCCAGAGTCCGCTCAGCCCTTCTTCTGGGCTCGGGGCGCCTCCCCGAGGTCGACCGAGGCTGCGGCTGCTGCTGCTCTCGCAGTCAGTCCCGCATGGAGAGCTCGGCGGCGGAGGAAGGAGGAGCCGGAGCCGCCGCCGCCAGCCCGGCTGACATGGCAGCCCTGCACGCAGCCAAGCGCGCCCTGCGAGCGGAGCTGAAGCGCCGCCTGAAAGCGCTGAGCGAAGCCGAGAAGCTCCGCCAGTCGCGCCTGCTGGCCGGCAAGGTGGGTGGCTTGGGTGGGAGAGAGAGAGAGAGAGACGGCGGACGCTGCTCGCTTTCTCCGGACGGCCGGTCGGTTGATTCCCCGTTCCAGGGGCCCTTTGGCAACCGAGCCCCGCAGAACGCGAGAAAGTTCCCCCCCTGGGGAACCTTTCCCCAAAGCTGGAAAGCCCTCGTGCGCCCACGCGCCTCTCCAAGCGGTGCCCAAAGAACTTGGCAAACCCGGGGATTTCCCCCCTTCCCTCCCTTCCTCCCTCCCGACTGAGAATCCTCCCCCCTTGCTGCCCCTCCTCACTCCCGCCCCCCTACGCCGCTGAGGGAGGGAGGGAGGGAGGCAGGCAGGCAGGGGTGAAATGTAAAATGTGTTACTACCGGTTCTGTGGAAGTGGCTTGGTGGTGGGGGGAGGGGTAATGTGACTGGGTGGGCGTGGCCAATTTATTTATTTATTTTAATCTTTTCAAAGCATTTTTTTTTCTAATCCTTTGAAAAGCCTCTGGCGATCAGGCAACTCAGCTGGGATCGTCAGAGAGGCTTTTTTTTTTAAAAAAAATGCCTCTCTGCCATCGGGCAACTCAGCTGGGATCGTCAGAGAGACTTTTTTAAAAAATGCCTCTCTGCCATCGGGCAACTCAGCTGGGATCGTCAGAGAGGCTTTTTTAAAAAATGCCTCTCTGCCATCAGGCAACTCAGCTGGGAGCGTCAGAGACTTTTCAAACCATTTTTTTATCACCTCTTCGGCCAAGAGGTTGCAGAAAAAAAATGCTTTGAAAAGCCTCTGAGGATCCCAGCTGAGCCGCCCCATCATCAGAGGCTTTTTTTTTTTTAACTTTTAAAAGCATTTTTTCGTTGGAAGAGGGCGCAGAGATTTTGGCTACCGGTTCTCCGAACCACCCGCCGCCATTGCTACCCGATCGGGTGATCCAGTCCGAACTGGGAGCATTTCACCCCTGGAGGGAGGGTTTTTGGAAAAAGGGCGGCGGGTGGGCGCGGAGGGGATTTGGCAACGTTGGGAAAGGGGCATCCAGCCAGCGCTGCGCTCGCGTGTCTTGGAGGGGAGGGACTCCAAGCCTTTCTCCCAGAAGCGTGAATTCAAGGCGAAGACCTGGCTTTGTGCCCTGGTTGCCAACTCCTCCTCTTGGAAGCAAAGCTAGGCTTGGAGCCGGTGGTGAAACCCAATTTTTTTTTACTACCTGTTCTGTGGCTTGGTGGGCGTGGCAAGGGAAGGATACTGCAAAATCCCCATTCCCTCCCCACTCCAGGGAAAGGATGCTGCCTTAGGTGGTGTCCCCAACGCCCATGGCACTCTCCTTGAATGTCTAAATCCAGTGGTGGGATTCAGCCAGTTCGCATCACTTCGGGAGAACCGGTTGTTAACTTTCTGAGCAGTTTGGTGAACTAGTTGTTGGAAGAAATCATTAGAGCAGAGAACTGGTTGTTAAATTATTTGAATCCCACCACTGTCTAAATCCATAGACATTTAGCCTATGAGTGATTGGGGGAGCTAGGTGTATTTAGCCTATCGAAGAGAAGGATTAGTGCAGGGGTCAGCAACCTGTGGCTCTGGAGCCGCATGTGGCTCTTCCACCCCTCTGCTGCGGCCCCCTGTCACTCAAAATATGCGTCACAACCGCCAATGTGCGACACCCGCCGGCACGCGATTTATTGAGCTTTTCAACCCCCGGTAGGCCAACCATGGATAAATCCAAGAAAAGAAAAGTTTCATCCTTCTAGAGCAGGAGTCTCCAACCTTGCCGACTTTAAGACTTGTGGACTTCAACTCCCAGAGCAAAGCTGGCTGGGGAATTCTGGGAGTTGAAGTCCACAAGTCTTAAAGTAGGCAAGGTTGGAGACTCCTGTTTTAGAGGGTCTTTGAAGCCCTTGGAGGTTTATCTGTGTCCTCAGGGTCACCTGAGTTAGTGCTTCTGCTTCCTGTAGTCTGCAATTTTTCCTCTGAAAATCCATTCCTACTCCCACAACATTCAAAGGGTGTTCATCCCAAATTGTATAGCTACAAGCCTGCAAGGAATATAAATCCTCCCATTCCCCACTATCCTGTCAGAGCTGAAGAAGCTTCATGGATGAGAAGCGAAACGTCTTCAAAACAAAAAAACAAGAAAGTCCAGTTGCCTCCTGAAAAAAGCCCCTTTGGGACAACCATGACCTGGATGACTGAGAATCTCTTACAGGCTTTCATCTGAGAAATGGTGCTGAGGGAAAATTTATCCTTCATTCTGAAAATGAAAGTCTGGGAATTTTTTTTTTTTTCTGTTTTCATTGAGCAACTGACTAAGGGGATATGAAATTGAGAAGTTTCGGCTTTCCTACAAGACTAGATGTGAAATTGACTAAAATAGGCAAGTGGCAAGCAGATTGGCTGTTCACTGCCCTGAGTCCTATATTGGAGAAGGGCGGTATAGAAATTTAAACAAACAAATAAATAAATAAATAAATCCTGCTAGTTGTTGTTGTTAGTTGCGAAGTCCTGTCCGACCCATCGTGACCCCATGGACAATGTTCCTCCAGGCCTTCCTGACCTCTACCATCCTCTGGAGTCCATTTAAGCTCACACTGATTGCTTCAGTGACTCCATCCAGCCACCTCGTTCTCTGCCGTCCCCTTCTTCTTTTGCCCTCAGCCTTTCCCAGCATTAGGTTCTTCTTCCTTCTCATTAGGTGGCCAAAGTATTTGAGTTTCCTCTTCAGGATCTGGCCTTCTAAAGAGCAGTCAGGGGTTGATCTCCTCTAGGACTGACCAGTTGGATCGCCTTGCAGTCCAAGGGACTCGCAGGAGTCTTCTCCAGCACCAGAGTTCAAAGGCCTCAATTCTTTGGTGCTCAGCCTTCCTTATGGTCCAACTTTCACAGCCATACATTGCAACTGGGAAAACCATAGCCTTGACAATACGCACTTCTGTCGGCAGGGTGATGTCTCTGCTTTTTAGCAGAGACATCTGCTGTCTAAATTTGCCATGGCTTTCCTCCCCAGGAGCAAGCGTCTTTTAATTTCTTGGCTGCAGTCCCCATCTGTGGTGATCTTGGAGCCCAGGAAAATAAAATCTGTCAGTACCTCCATTTCTTGAAATTGAAAGTGTTATTTAGATACAGGATATTCTGTACTCCCTATTATTGCCCGTGGTAAATTATTTAAAAATGGCCATTTCTATACCACTAAAAGCCAGAAAGTCATACTGGAAAGTGTACTAAGATTGTCAAAACTTAAATGCTCTCATCATTCCGGATCAGCAGAATTAATGAATAATCGGAGCGTGCAAACAGATAAGAGTTCAGTCACCAAAACAAACATTCATCAAGTAAAAGTAGCCAGCCATTAATTCAGCAGCAGCAGGAAAGTCAATCCAGCGTGATTATTCTACTGAATATTAAGATATTTGGAAAATGAATATTTCAAGGAGAAAAACACCAGCAAAATAAATGCTCTCTCTTTTCTACCTGAACCTTTCAATTTCCTACTATTTCAGTGGTTGGGTAATTTCCCAGCATATTTTAATCTATTTTATCATAATGATTGATAGCTCTATCGTACGTATAAACACCTCTCGGGCATGTTGAAGTATTGAAGCACCCAATAGAAATGAGAGGGCCAAGTGCACTTGGAAAATATGAATGCATTATAAGAAATCTTATGAACTTTGACTTTACTCAGAATGAGGTATGGTTTATTTGATTTACTCCCCATTGTCCTGCTTGAACCAGCTTTCAAAGTAGCTCAGAAAATTAAAAACATACCAAAGTTTAACAAACTCAATGCCAATAATTCATTTTAAGAAGAATTTAGAGATTTCATGAATGTTAGGGGTGAGATAAAGACCCTACAGATCCTTCCCTGGCAAAACTACTTGTGTAATTGGTTGTTATTGTTGTTTGAAAAAGAACAATACTAGAGTCCAACCCCCTGCTTAGGCAGAAAACTCTATACCATTTCAGACAAATGGTTGCCTAATCTCTTCTTAAAAACTTCCAGTGTTGGAACATTCACAACTTCTGGAGGCAAGTTGTTCCATGGATTAATTGTTCTAACTGTCTGGAAACTAAGTTGCTTCTCTCCTTGATTAGTTTCCACCCATTCCTTCTTGTCCTGCCCTCAGGTGCTTTGGAGAATAGATTGATCCGTTCTTCTTTGTGGCAGCCCCTGAGATATTGGAAGACTGCTATCATGTCTCCCCTAGTCCTTCTTTTCATTAAACTAGACATACCCAGTTCCTGCAACCGTTCTTCATATGTTTTAGCCTTCAGGTCCCTAATCATCTTTGTTGCTCTTCTCTGCACTCTTTCTAGAGTCTCAAGCTCTTTCCTGACTTGTGATTCTTTGGAGATACAAGAATAAGGCACCTTAGAATCAGTATCACATTTTAAAATTTTTTACAATTATTTTAATTATATACCTGGATGTTGTAAACTGCCCTGAATCTGTTAACACTATTTGTAAATGCAATAATAATGATAATAATGATAATAATAATAATAATAATAATAATAATAATAATAATAATACCTAGGACACTGGCAGCAAACCATATCAACCATTAGCACCAGTCAATGGTATTTGTGATGCATTTTTGAATGTTCAGTTGACTTGAGTTTCATGTTTAATGAATAAAGTAAATAATAATAATAATAGACAGTGAAGATCTTGTGGGACTTTCGAATACAGACGGATCGTCATTTGGGACATAACACGTAATCCAGATATCACGGTTGTTGAGGGTCGAAGCGTACAGTTTATTGATATCGCTGTACCAGGAGACACCAGAGTCAAAGAAAAAGAACTGGGAAAAATCACGAAATGTCGCGACCTGGCCATCGAAACTACATGAAACCTGTAACAGTGATACCCATTGTCATCGGGGCACTTGGTACCATGTCCAAGAATTTTACAAAACACATCAAGAAATTGCAGCTTCCTGCAATAACACCAGCAGAACTGCAAAAAAACTGCGCTACTCAGAACATCATATATTTTAAGAAGGTACTTGGTTGATACCTAGGATGCTGGCAGCAACCCGTATCAACCATTAACACCAGTCAATGGTATTTGTGATGCATTTTTGAATGTTCAGTTGACTGAGTTTCATGTTTAATGAATAAAAGAGATAATAATAGCAATAATGATAGTAGTAGTAGTAGTAGTAGTAGTAATAATAATAATAATAATAATAATAATAATAATAATAATAGCAACAACAACCAACCAACCACCAGTTTGGTCTAGTGGTTAAGGCACTAGACTAAAAAGCTGGAGACTATGAGTTGAAGTCCTACTTTAGCCATGAAAGCCAACTGGGTAACTTTGGCTCAGTCACTCTTTCTCAGCCCAGCCAACCTCATAGGGTTGTTGTTTTATGGGGAAAAGAAGAGGAGGAAGTTTTGTTGGATATGCTTTCTGCCTTGAGTTATTTGTAAAAAAAATAATAAAGGCAGATTATAAATAAATGAAAAAAAAATAAAACAAAACAGGGATCTCTGGAAAGATTGGGGTAGAAAAATCTCATCCAGATTTATTGAAGAAGTTACATTTTCATTCAATGTCTATTTAGGACCCGGAGAATAATGTATGCTCCTCTTTTTTCATGCCTTATCTTCCCCTCCAACAGCTAAAACACTGTGACAAGCGAGAATAGCTGTGTTATATTCTCTTCCCCGTTCATAAATCTGATACCACTGGTTGAAAGGTCTGTCCCTGTGACTCTAAAGAGGTGAAGACCACTGGACACATTCTCCTTCGATGCTCTTTTTATAGAGATATTCGGGGGGGGGGAGGGAATTACCTTCCCAATAATTAATAAGTATCCTGGCTGTTCTGACACTCTCTCACTGCTTGAGGAAGTTTATTTATTTATTTATTTATTAGTTCGATTTATATGCCGCCTTTCTCCGGGCGGCTTACAATGCATTAAGCAATAGCCTTCATACTTTTGTATATACCTGCTTAGTAGGGCTTTTGGCCCCCACTAAGCGGTGTTCTTTTTTATACAAAGTCAGCTTATTGCCCCCACAATCCGGGTCCTCATTTTACCTACCTCGAAAGGATGGAAGGCTGAGTCAACCTTGAGCCTGGTGAGATTTGAACTTGCAGTAATTGCAGACAGCTGGCAGCTAAGTGCTACTTTAACAGCACTTAGTCCACTGCGCCACCAAGCTCCTTTTTAACGGTAATGGAAATTTTGAGTAGTTCGGAGAACCGGCAAACACCATTTCCGGGTGGGAATGGAGATTTTGCAGCATCCTTCCCCTGCCACGCCCACCAAGGCACACCACGCCCACCAAGCCACGCACACAGAACCAGTAGTAAAAAAAAATTGAATTCCACCACTGCATTCATTCATAAGCCTGATTGGGGATTCTCCTTTTCCCAAAACAGGTGATGGCCCATCCTCGCTACCTCGCTTCCCAGCGCATCGCGGTCTTCCTGAGCATGCCAGACGAGGTCCGGACCAACGAAATCATTAAAGACATTTTCCAAAAAGGCAAAGAATGTTTCATTCCGTGGTACAAGCCCGAAAGCAGCCACATGGACATGGTCAAGCTGGCTTCCTATGAAGAGATTGCCTCACTTCCTCTGACGTCCTGGAATATCCATCAACCCGCTGAAGACGACGCACGGGAAGACGCATTGGCAATGGCAGGTAAGTTTGGAATTGTGACGTGGAATTGTGATACTGGTAAGATGTGGCTTATACCCAGTGGTGAAATCTCCGTGGATTGCCAGCGGTTTGCTGCTCGCGCATGTGCACTGTGTGCCAAATGCACTCTGTGCGCTTTGCGCAGAAAAAAGAGACTTAACAAGGCAAGTAGAACAGTGTGGGGGGGGAAACAGCTGTGCCGCGCGATTTAGATTTGCTAGAAAGCAGGATTTCCTGCTTTCTAGCAAATATAAATTGAACGGCACAGGTGATCATCAGAAATACCAGTTCAGATTAACCGGTAGCTTTTTTTTTACTAGCGGTTCGCCCGAACCAGTAGCGTTTATCACTACCGGTTTGCCCAAACCGGTGCGAACTAGTAGCATTTCACCCATGGTTATACCTTGATACAAGAGGGACAAAAGCAGGCATCAATTTGCATGCACTAAATCTTCACCCTCTTACGAATACCTCAACTTACAACAGCTCATTTAGTGACCATTTGAAATTATAACGGTGCTGAACTGTCCCAAAGGTGCTTTTTTTTCTTTTTCTTTCAAGAGGCAACAGGACTTTCTGGTTTTTCTTTGAAGACGTTTTCGCTTCTCATCCAAGAAGCTTCTTCAGCTCTGACTGGATGATGGGAGAATGGGAGGATTTATTTTCCTTGCAGTCGGCTCAGGGAGGGCGAAAAATGGGCCTACAAGAAGTTCAGGAAGACCAGAAAGGGGACCATTTCCAGCCTCCAGAGGGCCTCCAGAGCCTGGGGAGGCTGTTTTTGCCCTCCCAGAGGCTCAAGGAAAGCCCCTGGAGCCTGGGGAGGGCGAAAATGCCTCCCCCTCATGGTGCAGGAGGCCGACTAGGCCAAGCCCACCATGGCCACGCCCACCCAGCAATTGGGCAGAGAACCCCTTGCTAAAAATTTTGAAGCCCATCCCTGAATAAATAGGAGAGTAAAATTGGCTCGTTCTTACTGGGACATAAGCAACTTAACAGAGCTCTGCAAACCAGGTGCAGTTCCCCCTCCTTACAGAAATAGTTGAGTAAATGCATCTTATGACCACCAGATGGCGGGGTAGAATGCATTAAGAAATGAGCCATAATGACATTTTCTCTCTCCCCCCCCGCCCCCCCATCCCTGCCCAGGTATGATATAACCTTTCTCCCTGTAGAAGAATTTATCTCCGGCCTTGAAAAGCAAGCCATCTCACATTTTAAGAAAAAAACTCCCATGCAACTAAATGTCTTTTAATATTACCTTCTCCTAATGGTATCTTATGGATGCATCACTTTGTTGTTTGTATGTATACTGAGAGTTTAAGCACTGGAGACAAATTCCTTACGTGTCCAATTGCACTTGACCAATAAACAATGTTCTATTCCTGTGATGGCGAACCTATGGCACGCGTGCCACAGGTGGCACACATGTAGCCATATTGGTGGGCACGCCAGCTGATTTTCGGGCCTTCCAGGCCCACTGGAAGTTGGCAAATGAGCTGTTTCCGGCCTCCAGAGGGCCTCCGGGGAGTGGGGTGGGGAAGGCCATTTTTGCCCTCCCCAGGCTCCTAGAAAGGCTCTGGAGGCTGGGAAGAGAGAAAACCATGCCATCACATGCCAGGAGCTGGGGGGGGGGTGTCGTATAAAATTATGAGTGTGGGCATGCATGCGCACAACCCTCCCCGCCTGCTCCTGACATGCAATGGCAAAAAGGTTAGCCATCTCTATTCTATTCTATTCTATTCTATTCTATTCTATTCTATTCTATTCTATTCTATTCTATTCTATTCTATTCTATTCCATTCCATTCCATTCCATTCCATTCCATTCCATTCCATTCCATTCCATTCCATTCCTCTATTGTGTTGTTTTTATAAGCTGAAGTAGTCATTGACAGGTAGGATGTTATAGCAGATAATTTTGTGTACTACACTTAGGTCAGACCGAAGGCGGTGTAGTTCTAAATTGTCTAATCCCAAAATTTCATACCTGGTGGCATAAGGTATTCTGTTGCGAGCAGAGGAGTGGAGGACTCTTCTCATGAAATACCTCTGGAGTCGCTCAATCGTATTAATGTCCGATACGCAGTGTGGGTTCCAGGCAGATGAGCTGTATTCGAGAATTGGTCTAGCAAAGGTTTTGTATGCCCTAGTTTGCAGTACAATATTACCGGAGAAGAAGCTTTGCAAGATTAGGTTAACAACTCTTAATGCCTTTTTGGCAATGCTGTTGCAGTGAGCTCTGGTGCTTAGACCATTTGAGATGAGAGTACTCCAAGGTCCTTGACAGAATGAGGGTCATCTATGAGGTCGTATCCGCCCAGCTTGTATTCGAGTGGAATTCGACTGATCGAGTGGAATTGTATTCGAGTGGAAGCTGTGATTTATGATTTGCAAACCTGGAAGAGCTGAGGAGGGATTTTTGGGTTGTTTGGTTTGGTTTGCTCCAAATTCCTTTTCCAAAATAATCAGAGAGGTGTTTACTTAAAGCTGTGTTCCCATGTTTATTAAACAGAGGACTCTGTTTAAATCTAGTTTGTCTCGGTAATTATATTTTTGCTTTTGACAGCTGCTCCATATGTACCATGTCACAACACTGGTATTATTCCTGAAGGGACGGGCACAAGATTTTGCTTTTACTTGATTAAAAAAAAAAAAAGTCATAACCAGAGCTGGGTACAAATGGCCTTTTTTTTTTGAACATCTCCACCAAAATGACTGCAGAATTTCTTTAGATTTCTCTAGAGCAGTGATGGCTAACCTTTTTGCTGTTGTGTGCCAGGGGGAGCGCGGGGTGGTGGTGGTGTCACGTGTGTGCGTGTACCCACACCCGTAATTCAATGCGCCCTACCCCCCATGCATGCACACGTATTCCGCCCCTCACTCCCTCCACTTTTGGCACGCGATGGCACAGTGGGCCTGGTAGGCCCATTTTTCACCCTCCCCAGGCTCCAGAAGCTTTCTTGGAGCCTGGAGAGGGTGAAAACAGCCTTCCCTACCCCCAGGAGGGCCTCCGGAGGCTGGAAACGGCCCATTTCCCAGACATCCAGAAGACCCAAAAATCAGCTGGCCAGTGCACGCATGCATGCTAGAGCTGAGCTAGGGCAACGCTCGCGTGCCCACAAATATGGCTCCGTGTGCCACCTGTGGCACGCGTGCCATAGGTTCGCCATCACGGCTCTAGAGAGAAGGGAAAGTCAACAATACAGGTAGTCCCTGACTTAACAACCATAATTGGGCCTAAAATTTCTGCTGCTAGTTGTTCAGTGAGTTTTGCCCCACAATCTTTCTTGCCACAGTTGTTAAGTGAAACACTGCAGTTGTTAATTTAGCAATACGGTTGTTAAGTGAAACTGGCTTCCCCATTGACTTCGCTGTCAGAAGGTCGCAAAAGGTGGATCACATGACATGGGGACTCTGCATCCATCATAAATACATGCCAGCTACCCAGTATCCAAGAACCACGGTGGCACAGTGGTTAGAATGCAGTGTTGCAAGCTAATTCTGCTGACTGCAGGCTGCCAGCTGTTCGGCAGTTCAATTCTCACCGGCTCAAGGTTGACTCAGCCTTCCATCCTTCTGAGGTTGCTAAAATGAGGACCCAAACTGTTGGGGACAAAAGGCTGACTCTGTAAACCGATTAGAGAGGTCTGTGAAACACTGTGAAGCGGTATATAAGTCTAAGTGCTATTGCTATTGCTATTGCTAACCAGATTTTGATCATATGACTGTGGGGATCCTGCAATGGTCGTAAGTGTGAAAAATGGTCATAGGTCACTTTTTTCCAGTGCTGTTGTAACTTTGAACAGTCACTAAATGACTGGTTGTAAGTTGAGCACTATCTATCATTTCTCAAGCCCTGAGTTCTTTTGTGACATCTTCCTCTGGGGCTTAACAGCAATAGCAATAACACTTAGACTTATATACCGCTTTACAGTGCTTTTACAGCCCTCTCTAAGCGGTTTACAGAGTCAGCCTCTTGCCCCCAACAATCTAGGTCCTCATTTTTACCCACCTCGGAAGGATGGAAGGCTGAGTCAACCTTGAGCCTGGTGAGATTTGAACTGCCAAATTGCCGGCAGTCAGCAGAAGTAGCCTGCAGTACTGCACTCTAACCACTGTGCCACTGTGGCTCATAGGAGCAGGAGAAGTTGGGAAGGTGGTAGATCATCAGAGAGACGATTGCACAATCAAAGATGGGATGCTGAGAGACAGTCCGATCAAAGCTGCAAAATTACCCCACTCATGTCAAAAGCACTGAAGCACTTCTGAGTTGAAAGAATTAACTGGGTTACATCACTATTATCCAGAGGACATGAAGTTGGGGGCTCCTTTAATATCCTGGACAGGAGCTGGAGCGAAGGACGGGAACTCAACCTCGCCCCAAGGCAGCATTCAGGTCTCGAACATGGTCTGGCTAACCTCCATCCCAGAGTCCTGCTTACCATGTGAGCCAGGGTGCGCTCCCAACCTGGCACTTAACCCACGGGAATTCCTCCAAAGGGGTAAAAGACATTTTTGAAAATAAATGACATCATCAAAAGACATTTTGAAAATAAATGGCTTCACCAAACCGAGGGAGAATTGGTTGGGGGGAAAAAAAATATGCAGGAGCATTCCTCAGCCCTCATTACAGAAACTCATCAAATAAGGCTATCCCCTTGATCAGTTATTATCTATTTATACTCTTTGTAGCTGAAAGTAGGTTGGAGCTCAGCGGAGGAGCTCCTGTGCAAAACGCAGTTTAATCAGAATGCGACGCCACCACACATAATTACCTGGGAATAAGCTCCGCTAAACCCAGTGGAGTTTTCCTTAATAGTAACTGCATTGTGTGTCTGTCAAGTTATTTGCAGGCTAACGAGAGTCTTCCTTTGCAAAGCCAGGCCAACAACTCAACAACACAACAATTTTGCTGTCTGAGAATAACTTGCATTTTTCTGAAACTAATAGCTGTGCTTTTGGGCCAAAAGGTGGGGGGAAAAACCTATAATAACGGGGAAGGTT